AGCTTTTAAAAAAACTCATTTATATGTGTGCACAAATGTGCGTGCATATGTTGGTGGAGGTCAGAGATTGACGGCTAAGGTCTTTCTCAGTCACTCTCCTTTTCTTTGAGACAGAGTCTCTCACTGAGCGTGGGCCGTACCAGTGAGTTCCAGGGATCCATTTCTTCACCCACCACCCAGGACCCAGTGCTGGGATTACTGGCGCGTGACTTTTCGTGTGAGTGCCCCAGATCTGAACTCAGGGCTTGGACATGCGTCACAGGTACTTTACTGACGGAACCATCTCTAGTTGTCCTTGTGTGCCACCCCACCCACTTGCTTTTGAGACACGTTCCTCCCACAAAGAGCCAGGAAGACCTGGAACTTGCTATAAGCCCAGGTGGGTTTTAAACTTGCAATCCCCACCCCCCCCCACCCACTGAGTGTTGGAATTATAAGCACATGCTACTATGCCTGAATCTTGGCAATGTTCGTGTAATCTCCAAGCTTTGTAGCATTTGCCATATCATGTGCTACAAGCTTGATGAAATCGGTTTTTTCTCAAATATATTCTTTAGACTTGAAATTTAAACTGATATGTGCTAATTAAATCATGTATTAGCATTGTAGACATCCTGCAATTCTTGGATTTATGTGTTTCATTTTAAGACATGGCCTCATTAGGTGGCCCAGACTGGGCTCAAATTTGAAATCCCCCTGCCTCTCGACCTTCTTAGTTCTTGTATTACCACTACATGCCACTATGCTCAAAGTTCTGGTGATGTTAAAAGTCTGAGTTTCCCACTGAACTGTAAATCCCACAAAAGGAGAGAACATGTCTATTTTTTCACACCACTTTGTAACTTGGGTTGTGGTTTCCAGCACTATTAAATAGCAGCTTAACAAAGACTTGGGGCAGTCAGTTACTCGTAATATCTATCTTCAACATATACAAAGATGATTTCTCTTTCCCCTGACTCTGGCCCCCGACACTTTCCAGGGTTGAGGACTGAACTCAGGCTTTGTGCATTCTAGATGCTCTACCTCTGAGCTACATCCTTAGCTCCCAGTGAAACTTTTGGCTCTGTTCCTGCCTCTCCTGTCAATACTCCTCAGTACTGCTTTCCCCATCTTTCCTACCTTAGAACAGGGCATCACTTTTATCAAGCCCTTTAAGATAAAACAAGCAATAACCTGTAATTCTCCTTCCAACATTGCCCACAACGATCTATCAGGATACCCTGACTCCCTTTCACGTCCACAACTTCCCAAGTCACCATTATCTTGTTTTAAATCTTGGAGCTCTATTGTTGTGGTTGGGCCCTGTTTTGTTTTTGAGAAAAGGTCTCCTTATGCAGCCCTGGTTGTCCTGGAACTCACTGTGTAGACCAGGCTGGCCTTGAACTCACAGGTTTCCACCTGCCTCTGCCTCCCTAGGTCTGGGGATAAAGGTGTGGGCCACCCACACCTTTTTGAAACACTAATGGATTTCTAGTTATTCTTTACTCTTCTATATATAATGACTGCTTTATTTCCATTTTATTTTGGGTTTCAGAGAGTGTGATCTGAAATATAAATCTATGGGGCTGGAAAAATAGCTCAGTGGCTAAAATATACATCAAGCTATATCTCCCTTATGTAGAATTCTTGATTTCTCTTCATACACAGAATAAAACCAGATGGTTCCAGTAAAGCTAGGCACCATCTAGCCCTAGCCTACACTCTGGGTCACTATGTCTCAACTACAGAAGCATTCTGGTCCATACGTCTTACGGCTCTGTTCTTCCTGAACCCCAGGGCACTTTTTATGCGGATGGCATCCTCACTGTAAACTTCCCTCCTCCGATAGGCTGTTCTTGTCAATGTTACAAAAGAAACACTCTCCCCACACAGTTCTATCACCATGGGATTTAGTTTCTTCATACCAGACTTATACCCAGAAATCATTTTATGCATTTATTATCGATTTCTCCTCCCACAGAATGTATGCTGAAGGCATAGCTCTGTGCCTACCACAGGGCCTGACATTCAGCGTTTCCTGAATAAACAATCCTCAGTCCCATCCGTCGTGCCTTTTAAGAAGTCATATTTATAATAAATAAGTCCATCTCCTTGACATCTCACTTTCTCCCAGGAGTGTTAAACAGTGAAAAGTGGGAATAAGGAAAGACTGCGTAAGCCTATGGACGCAAGAGAGGAACTCCGACTATGGTACCGGTACGCCAGGACAAACTGAAGGATCTGGTCTGTCACTAGCCCTTACTCTTTCCACATCATGAGCCAAGATAGTCAGAGGGAAGAAAATCTGCTTCTTATTACTTTCCTCCAGATAGGCGTTTCCTTTTCCTAACTTAAAATTCATAACATTCTTTTCCTGGATTCTAGGCTATTACATAATCGCTCAAATGTCAACTCCTTGAAACTTGGCCTTTAATGTTACCCGCCTTTCTCTCTTTTGTATTATTACAAAGCATCTTAAATAGAAACAGAACCACTAAGGTGCTATAAGACACAGACTCCAAGCCTGCAGCGTGGGATCTTATCCCATCCTCCAATGAGATGATTCATGAGCAAGCTGCAGCAACCCTTAACTTCACCCCAGGAACAGAAGAGTCAGGGCAGGTAGTGCACAAGGGGTCAGTGACCTGGAAAGCTTTGTAGCAGAGGAGACAATCTTGGATGGGGATAATGAGAGGGGAATGAGACCGTCTGAACAGGACTACAAACCAGGCCTTCACTGGAACACAATTTAATAATTGTGTTCTCAATTTCTGCTTCAGACCTTCTACAGACCCACAGTGGAAGCTTTTGTCCATTATGTTAGCCAATGCCCTTCACATAAGAAACCCGCACTATATGCTTCCCAGAATTTAGTACGAGAAATGAGACTCAATTTACGATCAACCTTGGAATTACTCTTTTTATCAAATAATGCAAACTGTATGAAACCACAGATGTCTTGGGGATGGAAGGGCTACCGGAAATAACTAGCCCAGTGTGTTCCAAAGTGTTATACACAAAGTTAAATAGTAGATGATTTTCTTCTTTCCACAGCTGTTTTATTGAGATGCAAATCACATCTTGTGAAGTTTACCCTCTTAAGGTGTGTTAATTCAGTTATTTTCAGCACACTCAGTTATATAACATTTCTATCACCCCCAAAAGAAACTCACATCCAGCAGACGTTCTCTGATGCCTCAGCAGATAAGGGTCTTTGTCAAAGGATTCCTCGGATCTCTTGCTGTGAATGCACAGGATGGGCTACAGTGCAGTGTGTTTCGCTCACACCCACACCCACACTTATGCTTGTCTCTCCTTTTCTGCTTTTCATTTTTTCTTTTTTATTATTTGAGACAAGGCATCGCTCCATGATGCATGCTGGCCTGGGTCTTGTGGCATTCCTGCCTTAGTCTTCCAGGAATTACAGGTGTAAGCCACTATACCTCGCTTGTCCAAATACACTTAAGAGCTAACATTTTGGTGTCTGCTATGCTAAATGCTATACATGGATACCTCAGCTAATGCTCACAGTAAAATCTCGAGGAGAGGTTCTAAACCTTCCTAGTGTTGCGACCCTTCATGCTGTGGTGTGCCCTGACCATAAAATTATTTTATTGCTACTTCATAACTGTAACTGTACTACTGTTCTGAATCATAATGTAAATATGTGTGTTTTCCGATGGAGTTAGGTCACCCCATAAAAAGGGCTGTCGTGTCCCACAGATTTGAGAATCACCTATCTAGATGATACCATATATAAAAATGTGAATATTAAAGTTAAAAAAGATTAAGGCTAAGTAACTTGCTAAGGTTTTCCTCGAGGCCCTACTCTATAATAGTAGGAGATAAGAATGGGCAGCTAGTATTCTACGGATCATATCTTCAGGCTAACAAGAACACAGAAAGGTAAGATGAATTCGTCAAGAATTCATATCATTCTTTTCTATTACTTTCCTTACTGGTGTACAGCTAAATCTAGAACTCAACTAGTTAACTAATCCTGACAAAATCCCTCCCTTCTTCAAATGCCTGCCTTTATAAACAAAACAACAACAAAAACCCCATAATGTTAATATTATAGACTTTCTTAAAAACTTTGTCGAGACTGAGTTTGTTTCTCGCTATGCGCCTCACCCACTATGCAACACACTCCTCCGTTACTTTCGTCATACAAATCCCAGGTATCTTTTGATGGCTAATATAGGTAAGCACTTGGTCTTTCTCATCTCCTAGGTGGAATGTCACCCCCTCCTCTGTGCCCCTGCAGCCCCGCCCGCACCTCTCCTCTGAATATCTGTTTGCCTAAGTTGGAACTACTTCGAGCTCCTGTCTTGTGCCGCCTATCAGCCATAGGTCTCCCGGGAAGCATAAGTTAGTGTAAAGTCCGAAAGCTGAGCAAGGCAGGACCATCCTAAGCGGCCAAGCTTCGTATCCATCTCTGATGGATGTAACTGCTTGCTCTAAGAAAGCCCAAGGGTAATTTACCGGTTTGTAGTCACACACACACACACACACACACACACACACACCCGTCCCAGCACCCCGGGATCGGACGGACAGTGCACCCACATGGCAGCCTTGTGGAGCTCACCGCCACTCAGGCCAAGTCAGTCAAATAAAAAATGACAACAACTGGCTGGGCAGCGGTAAGAGGGCTGCACCTACGAATCCCGTCCGCCGGTCAGGACTATCCGGAGCCCAGGCACCTCCCTGCTTTCTGACAGAGACCCGGGCCAGGCAGCAGGGTCGGGCAGGGCAAGGGGCCCCTGTCTGGGAGGTGACACAGCAAGGCCTCGAACCCAAGTCACCACCCGCCGGGTTCGGAAGATCTCCAGCGCCGAGAGGGCAAAGAAGAGGAGCGGCTCCTGGGTCCCGCCCCGGCCCTGTGCTCCAGGACCCGCAAGGGTCCAGGCCGCCCGCGGGTCTGGGGTCGCGCGCACCCCGCCCCCGGCCCCGCGCCATCTTGGAGCGCTGAGACGCTCGATCGGGACGCCCCGCCCGTGGCTCCCGCGGCTACTCACCCGCACTGCCCGGAGCCAGGCCTCCCGCCACCTCAGCGACCCCCGCCGCGGCCAGAAGAAGCAGCAGAGCGCCTCGCGGGGAGGCCCGGACGCTCGCCATGTCCGGGCCGGGCGGGTCCGAAGCCGCGAGATGCTCGGACCCAGCCTGGCCGTAGTAGCCGCTGGCACCAAGCCCCGCCCCCAGCTTCTTCGGCCTCAGGTGATTGGCTGCGGCGCTCCGAAGCCCCGCCCTGACCGCTTAGCGTTTCCAAAACCTCCCGGGGGGCGGCAGCGCGCCCTAGACCCTGGCTCTTTGTTATGGGCCAGCTGTGTGTCGCCTTCGGCCTCGGGCTCCCGGGCAGCGTTCTCCAAACGGGAAGTCAGAGGCTGGAGACCCCTTTTGGAGCGCCTCTGGCGCCTGCTGGGGTAACAGGGGTCCCCGCGGCTCAGAGGCGACTGCTCTACAGGTCCGTCTGAAATCCAAAGGCTAAGTCAATTGAACCGCAGGGGGTGCACCGCTACCTGCGTCCTCCTGGATACTCAATATTCTGTCCTGGTGCTACCTCGTCCTGAAGAAGGAGTGTCATCTGGCCTCCCCTCAAAGTCAAAGGGCTCTGCTGAAAGGCTACGAAATCTCAGGCTGGCCCCACTGTGCCAGTTCACGCACTGTTAATATCTTTTCCACCCAGAGAAAAGGGCAGGGCAGCTTTTATGACTAGACTTGGAGAGTCTGGAAATTCATAGTTTTTGGAGATGGATCTTCCCGTGCCACTCTAAGCAACTACTGTGGAGAATGTTCCAGAGGATGTACTAATCAAAAGCTAATTCACTGGGTAAGAGCGCCTCTGCTCTTCCTGACTGTCCGACCCTTGAACAGATCCATTTTAGAGCTACCTTGCTGTTCAGAAGTGAAGCCGAATGCTTGTTTCCACTTTCCTCTGTTCAGGGCACCAAACGCAATGATCAGATGGTAGTAATGACTCTATTGGAAAGAGCAAGGTCTTGATGCACCACTGGATTGCACTACTCCCGACTAGCCCTGTGTCTGTGGGTGAGAACATTTACTTCTGAGGCTCCCCCCTCCCCGACTCTGACCTTCTTGACAAGATTAACGAACGTATTGTTTGTTTAATTATTTATTTATGTTTATTTATTTAATTAATTAGGTATTTCGGAGACAGGCTCCCGTAAAGCTCAGGTTGACCTTGAACTTACTATGAAGCCAAGGCTGGTCTTGATTTCCTGATCAAGTACTGAAATTATAGGCACCCAACTTTGTACTGTATTTCGAATGTCTGAGCCAGTACCTGGCACTGTGAATAACGTGGGCACTCTGAAATCTTAATTGGGGCTGTGGGACTAACTGACTGAACTTACTTCCCACCCTGTCCTAACCACTTTGCACTTCTTTAAAACAACAGACTTTCCCTTTTAAAACACTTTTTGAGGCTTTTATACATGAGCACTGTATTGCAGCATTGCTACCCCACCCTCTTCCCCTTTCAACTAAGGTTTTACTTTTTTTTTGCATTCACTTCTTTTATGTTTTTTTTTTCAAAAATTTATGCTTCCTCCCCTCCTCCCATTCCCCTCCCACTCCCCCACTCTCCCTCTTCCCTCCCAGGTCCTTAAGAGAGGGCAGGGTACCCAGCCCTGTGGGAAGTCCAAGGCCCTCCCCCCTCCATCCAGGCCTAGGAAGGTGTGCATCCAAATAGACTAGGGTACCAAAAAGCCAGTACATGCAGTAGAAACAAGTCCCAGTGTCGTTATAGATGGCTTCTCAGTTCGCCCCCATTGGCAGCCACATTCAGAGAGTCCGGTTTGATCACATGCTAGTTCAGTCCGGTTCAGCTAGATTTGGTGAGCTCCTATTAGATCAGGCACACTGTCTCAGTGGGTGGACCAACCCCTCCCGGTCCTGACTCCCTTGTTCATCTTCTCCCTCCTTCTGCTCTTCAACTGGACCTTGGGAGCTCAGTCCATTGCTCTGATGTGGGGCTCTGTTTCTATTTCCATCCGCCGGACAAAGATTCTATGGTGATATTCGAAATAATCATCAGTGTGATAGTGGGGCAAGACCAGTTCAGGCACCCTATCCTCTGCTGCCCAAGGACCTAGCTGGGGACATCCCCATGGACACCTGGGATCCCCTCTAGACCCAAGTCTCTTACCAACCCTAAAATGGCTCCCTTAATGTAGATATCTTCTTCCCTGCTCCTATATCTGCCCTTCCTCCATCTCCACCCTCCCACTCTCCCAAGCTCTCCCCAGTCTTTTCCTTCTCCCTTCTTTCTCCCCCTCTCCCCTTCCCCGAACCCCACCCCAGCCCTACCCCACCCCTATGTTCCCAACTTTTGCCCAGCGATCTTGTTTGCTTCCAATTTCCAGGAGGATCTATATATGTTTTTCTTGGGTCCACCTTGTTATTTGGCTTCTCTAGGCTTGTGAACTATAGGCTTAATGACCTTTGTTTATGGCTAAAGTCCACAAATGAGTGAGTATATACCATATTCATCTTTTGGGGTCTGGGTTATCTTACTCAGGATAGTGTTTTCTATTTCCATCCATTTGCATGCAAAATTCAAGATGTCATTGTTTTTTACCACTGAGTAGTACTGACATTAAAATTCTAATTAACCCAATTAAAAAATGGGGTACTGAACTAAATAGAGAATTCTCAACAGAAGAAGTTCAAATGGCCAAAAGACACTTAAGGTCATGATCAACTTCTTTAGTGATCAGAAAAATGCAAATCAGAACAACTTTGAGATACCATCTTACACCTGTCAGAATAGCTAAAATCAAAAACATCAATGATAGCCTATGCTGGAGAGGATGTGGAGTAAGGGGAACTCTCATCCATTGCTGGTGGGAATGCAAACTTGTGCAACCACTTTGGAAATCAGTGTGGCGGTTTCTCAGGAAATTGAGAATCAACCTCCCTCGGGATTCAGCAATACCACTCTTGGGAATATACCCAAGAGATGCCCTATTATACTGCAAAAGCATTTGTTCAGCTATATTCATAGCAGCATTATTTGTCATAGCCAGAACCTGGAAACAACCTAGATGCCCTTCAATGTAAGAATGGATAAGGAAAGTGTGGAATATATACACATTAGAGTACTACTCAGCGGTAGAAAACAATGGCATCTTGAATTTTGCAGGCTTTACTTTTTAGGATGGTTTTAGGCTCACAGCAAAGCTGAATGGAAGGCACAGAAAGCCCACGTCTCCTGCCTTTCATCTCCACAGCCTTCGCTATGACCAACGTCCTCCACAGTGGTCTATCTAGGGCCATGAGCACGCCTGCACTGTCACCCGGGGAGGATTTACTATTGAAACTGTGCTGTCTGTGTGCTTTGACAAAAGTATGTTTATCTACCACTATTCCTTTTAACTCTACACTGTAGCTATTAGAAAACTTATGTGGTTCACTGTCCCGCACTACCGTCTCGCCCGCAAGAACGACGCGGGACACATAGGATTCTTCTGCAGTAAAGCTTTATGCGTCTTGAGAGGGAGAGCATAAGCTTACATGGCGGAGACCCAGAATGAGGGGAACCCAGCCCTTATAAAGGAAACAGGCCTCGCTTCTGACGTGTCACTCTTGGATTGGTCCGCTGCCCATTATCCCAGATGATGCCTCGGGAGTAGGCAGGGACGCAGCAGTGGTAGAGAGTTACCAAGCACGTGCGCTGGGATTAAAGGCGTGTGCTACATCACCTTGAACTCACAGAGATCTGCCTGTCTCTGCTTCCCAGGCATTGGGACCAAAGGCGTATACTACCACGCCTTGAGGTCACAGAGGTCAATCTGCCTCTGCCGCCCAGGCATCAGGACTAAAGGCGTGTACCGCCACACCTTGGGGTCACAGAGGTCAATCTCTACCTTTGTTCCTAGAAGCAATGGAGAATGTGGTCCGGCCCTCCACAGTTCACTGTGGAGCTCCCACTGTATTCCTGTCCGACGTTGCTCATGTAACGTTTTGCTTAGAAATGATTGATGATTGGAGATCAATATGGTTCTTTAAAAAGATGTAATCATCAGTAATTGATTGTTCTGAGGCAAAGAGCCATTGCTCTGTATTTTAGCTAAAGAAAACCCTTTAAGTCTCTCTCTCCAACACTACTTTTTAGGATTGAACCTGGGGCTCACACATGGTCAGCAGGTGCTGATGCAGGTGCAGTGTCCCTAGCCCCCTCCCACAAATCTTTTGGTTAATGGCTTTGTGGTGTATTTTCCTTATGATTCTATCCTTCTTTATAATTTCCCTTTGAGTTAAGTCTCCCTGTGTAGCTCAGGCTGGCATCAAACTCGAAATCCTCCTGCCTTAGCATTCAGAGTCCCCCAGTCCCTTACATTTTTCAAGTATAGAAATTCTCTTTGTGTTTTTCTATGTCTCTACTCTCCTCCTCATGATATTCATGCCTCTCCCTTTTGTATTCTTCATAACATTATTTTATAATGGCTATTTAATGTCCTTGTTTGATAATTCTATCATCTCTGTGTATATTTATGTTGATTTTTTTTAGTTATGAGTAATATTTTCCTTTTTCTTTACATACTGGATTGATTTTGGTTGTATGACATACACATGAATTTTGTGTTTGGAGTGCTAAGTGTGTGTGTGTGTGTGTGTGTGTGTGTGTGTGAGAGAGAGAGAGAGAGAGAGAGAGAGAGAGAGAGAGAGAGATGCTCTGCTTTTTTCTGGCATGAAGTTAAGTTGCTTGAGGATCTCCTGAGATCACACATCTGTTCCCCCAGTGTTGCCACACTTGCCTTTTATGTGATTAAATGTGTGTTTGACACGTGCTTTCAAGTTCAATTCTGCTAATTCCAACATCTGGGCAATCCTGGCAAGGATTTCAAGTGATTGCTTTTCATCTTGATAATTGATTGCATTTTTAATTGCTTTATGACTAATACATTTTTACTTTACAATAGACCTAGGACAAACTCCATAAAAGCCTGGTCCCCACTCCTAGGACATGGCTTGTCACAGCATCAGGAAAAATGGAAACTAGAAATAGAACCAAATGGACAGCCTAAACCGGTAAATAATGCACAGTCCGTGAATTTAACATTCTACACATTGGAAATGATAAAAATAACTTGAAGCCAAATCACTGAGAATTATTCAGTTCCAAGAACAGGAGGTGGAGAGAAGATGAAAAGAAAGGAAATGGGTCATTCAGTGTCTAATGTGTACATAGTTG